CTCTTACTGCTTTTTTCTCAAAAGTATCTTATGATAAAAAGTTTCTCTCCTCCAAATCAACTGGAGGTTATACTACAAAGTGAGCCTGATCCAGAGGCACTAAAAACATGTAAGCATGCTGCAGTTCATTCCTGAAAAAACGCAGATTTAAATCCACAGCAGCATTGTGCAACTGAACTTTCTGTGTTGCTGAAAATGTTCTGTATCTACGCTGTCCCGTATGGCAGCCAGTAGCCACTGTGACCATTAAGCACTTGAAGTCTGTGCAGTGTGACTAAAAAACCAAAATTTAAAATTTTTATTTAATTTTAACTAATTTAGACATAAATCACCTCAGTGGCTATCATGTTGGACAGAGCTGGTCTATAAACACCAAGGTAGGTTGTATATGAAGGAAAGATTACAAAACAAAATAAAAAACAGAAAAAAACTCCATTTATGGAAGAAGTGATAAAGTAGCTATAAAAAGCAGAAACAGCTGTGGGGATGGTAGATACTGAGAAAAGCTTCAGCTTATGGTCCCTGTTGTCAGCTGATACACCTCCTGCTCCTGTGTTCTGACAATAGAATTTTCCCCCAAAGCTTCAGAGTTATGTTTCTGTGGGGTGGAGGTGTGTACAAATAATTGGACTAGCAGTATGGACGGCCCGCAAATCATGTGATTCACTTGCTTTACCATCAGTGCTATATAAACTTTCAGAGCATGGTCAAAGGAAAAATGGAAAGAAAGGGAAGAAATAGAAAATGAAAATTAACGTGAAAACGTGAAAAATGAATAAAGAGGAAGGGGAAAAAAAAGAGGCCCTTTCAATAGCAACAATATCAATAACACCTGCCTGACCATAAGAAGCATGACCAAATTGTTACTGTTTTCATTCCCTGTGCAAATATTCAATGAATACCAATTATATGCCAGGCACTGTGCTAGGCACAAGGCTTATGCTAGTTAAAGAAGGAGAGTCCTCAGCTCTCAGGGTATTCAGAGTGCAATGGGGGAAATAGGCACTCATTAAAAAAAAAAAAATGCTATATAGTGAGAAACAGAACAGGTCAGGTCAACGATGCCTTCTAAAGGAGCATTATTTAAAGGATGACTAAGAGCTCTCCAGGCAAAGGAGGAGGTAATGCAGGGGATGGAGAGGAGCAGGAATCAGAATGGTGATGAAGGAGATGTAAGAGTGAGTGAATATCATAGTTTTGTAACTGGAAACTTCATATTGAATATCAGAAAAAATTTTGACTTTCTACTTTCAGTGAGGAATCACTTAACATTTCTGAGCAAAATACTATAGTAACTTTGCTTCTGGAAAAATTATGTTGGTAGCAATGTGGAGGCCATCCAGAATTGAGGGACTGGGTTCAGATTGGGAGCTTAGTCAAGAGGCTACTGGGAGAATCCCCAATGAGAAATAATAAAGGTCTTATTTTGTTTACATCTGCACAGAATTCATGCCTCTTTCTTTTGGTATCAGAATACTGATTTTTCACAGGGAAATCACCCCTCTGGCACTTGACCCGGTCCATGAAGTACCATGAAAGGATCACCCTATGCCAGGATCCAAGGTTGAGCATATAACTTAGGCCTGATGGAGCAACATATTTCATACCCTGATTACAAGAACAGTAACATTAAAAAAAAAAAAAAAACAGTAACATAAGTCAGTCCAAAAATTTTCACTTTTGCTATACATATTTGCATTGCTGTTTTCCTTCTTTTTGGATGGATTGTTAAACTTGAAGTTGCCAAGGGTTATCCTGTAGAAAAAACTGCTGAGAATGAAGCTGACACATCAGAAAAAACAGCACACAGACAGGGACAAATTTTTGTTTAAGCACCTACATTTGGCCATTCCTAAAACAATATAAGCCAATATATTTGGAAATGAAGGGGAAAAAAGCTTCAGGAGAAAAATCAGAAACAGAACTCACTGGACCTAGGGACTACTTGTATATGGCAAATGAAGGAGAGTGAAGTATCAAATTTCACTTAGGTTTCTGGCTTGGCTGACTGAATGGAAAACCCTATTAACTGAGAAAGAGGACAGAGGAGGAACAGGTTTTGGTCAATGAAATGAGCTCAGTCTGGAGATACTAAAAAGTATCTTACTACTTGAATTCTGACTATCTGAATCACTAAACCGGGAAAACTTTGTAAGTAGTTGCATTCCAAGGTCAGAAGGAGATGGCATAGTCCAAGTCAGCTGAGGGTAACACAACAATGATAGAAGAACCATTCCTATTACGATTCAGTAGTTTCACCAGACACCCTCCAAACAATTGGTATTTAGGAAAGTCTAGGAAAAGTGAAGTATCATCCCTAAGCACTAAAGCATTTTTCTAGTGATTACTAGCTAGATGGAAAGCAATAGGGGAAGCTATGACATTCCACTCCAAGGATGAAGTTAAAACCTGGGCCAAGTGACTTCCCTGGTGGTCCAGTGGTTAAGAATTCACCTTGCAATGCAGGGGACTTGAGTTCTGTCCCTGGCTGGGGAACTAAGATCCCACAAGCCACCGAGCTTGTGCGCTGCAACTGCTGAGCTCAGGTGCCACAACTAGAGAGCCTGTGCATCACAAGGAAAGATCCCACACGCTGCAACTAAGACTGGATGCAGTCAAATAAATAAATATTTTTAAAAAAAATGCTGGGCCAACACCCCAGTCCCCAGTTTGTTCAATTTGGATAGAGAAACCATAGAAGGAGGAAGCACAACCAATAATATCAGTAACTGGAAGAGCACACACTCATCTTATTTCAAGAAAACTGGGGAGGGGAAGGAAGTAGACATTTTCTGCATTCAGTATATATCAGCACTCTCTGAGGAGCTTTTTGCACATTACCTTACTGAATCCTCACCAGTCAGGAAGGCATCATTCTTCCCATTCAGGCTGGATAAGTCAAGTTAAGCAGTAGAGCTAGAATTCAAATGCAGCTCTACCTGGCTATAAAGCTTATGCACATTTCACTCCATCAACTGCTTTCAGAATATAATTTTATTTTATCTTTCATATACTAAAAAAAAAAATGATGCTATCTCATCAAGAAGATGTCTTCTGAATTGGGTGTTTTATTGGCCAAAGAAAGGTCAGGTTTGCAGTGCCTCAATTCTCAGGCACAAATCATGTATTTTATTTACCATTTGACTACCCAGAACTAAAGAGGCCATTGGCGCCACAAAGACCCATTAAATATATTATTCTAAGTTAACTAGTCACCAACAGAGAGTAGGCTATGTTAACATTAAGAGTGATTTCATGGAGATAATCCCACTGCTGAAATTAAGTTTTGACTAAAGTTCCTTGGTAAAGAAGCAAGTATGGAAAGAATAATAGAAAAAGATACCTGCAAAGGAGAAGCCTTAGGAACGTTAACGACAGGCAAAGAATGCTATAAAATTTATTACCTTATACATTTCTTTGTCCCAGCATATTAGCACAGTGAGAGGTAGCATAGCATAGATATTAGAAGTAGAGCCTGCCTGAATCCCAGTTCCACCAAGGATTTACTGTATGACCTTGGCAAATTATTTATCCTATGTCTTAGCTTCCTCACCTGTCAAATGGTGATAATATAGTACCTATCTCACCCAGCTTTTATGAGGATTTAATAACACTTGTAAGGCTCTTAAGCAATGCCTGGCATATAGTAAATAAGTATATGTTAAATACATTAAATAAATAAATAACTCAGCTGGGAGGAAATCTGAATTTCCAACCTAGCCTCTCCCACATGAACTGGTAGAGGAAAATAAAAATAATCCTAAAATTTGTTTAGAAAGTATATAGGACTTTTTACAAGAAGCATTTCACAGACATCTGGAGGAAGAATAAAGAGCCAAATATACATAAGCAGAAACTGAAACATGGAAAAGGGAAGTAGGCTCTTCAGTTTCACTGAACACATCATTCACAGATCTCGCAGTAACCCCAAGTCCTGTCATCCTAGGTTTTGTACAGCAGGCCACAGGCTAACTGCGCACGTAGAAGAGGAGTCACTCTTTAAAACAGCCAGGTCTTCACCCATGTACAAAATCTCATTAATAATTCCCCTGTTGACATTTTTTCAAAGGTAAATATTCCAGTCTTTGGATTCTAGCTGCTCCGGAGACTCTAACTACATCTGAATGTTTTTAAAAGTCAAGAAGGACTTCTTTAAGCCACATTCCTGCTCTATCCTGTCCACTCCAGATTCTTAAGAGGTTAAGACCAGAGTTATTAATGAAGCAACACCTACACAGAAGGACAGCTGGAGTCCAAGCCAACATTCAGCTTTTCTAACTTCTAGAAGGTATGAACTCGATAGCAGTTTCATATAAATAAAAGGGAAATCGCTCAGCTGCCATGTGGGTAAGGAGAGACGGGTTTAAATACAGGGAGGTCCTGTCACTGTCTGACAGGGATCCAGCATTGACAAAGGGCACACACGCAATTGCTAGTCTCATTAGCAAGCCCTCACTCCCATTCCACTGCCTTTACAATCGCCCACTTTCATCCACAGGCCCTCCTTCACGCCTTCTTCCTCACACTCATTTTGCCTAAGCTTCTCTCTAGGCCACTCAAAATGCCTAACCTTTGCTCCCAGAAATTCTTACTTCAACCTTCTTAATACTGACCTGAACTGCTGTCACCGCAAGTTTCGGTCGGGGCACCCACCTGTCCCCTACTGCTATCTACAGACTCTGGCCTATGAAATCTCACTGCAGCACCTCTCAATGTCCACCTCCTCCCCAGCAGCAGCCTTGGGTCTGAATTTTACCCACTACTGCACGCCCTCCACCGCCTCCCCGCCCTCAACATACCCCATCCTCCCTCCTTCTCTCTCACCAAGCCCGTTCCGTCGTCCGCCCTATCTAACCTCCCCGTCTCTCCTTTCAGAATTTCTTCCCAAACAAGTCGCCCACAACAGTAGTCCTCCTGTCTGTTTCCTCGTGCTCTCTGAGCCTTCCCAAGCCTCTCCCGGCTTCAGCGCATCCGTCTGCGCGCGACCTTTCCCAGCCCACCTGCTCTCCTCCGGCAAGCCCTCCTCGCAGCGGCCAACCTCCATTCCCGCGCCCTCTGGCCGCATCCGGGGCTGCGACGTCGCCTCTTAAGAGAGGCGTCCCGGTCGCTTCGCCCCTCAGGGCTCCCAGAGCTCCTCGGGAATTAAGGAGGCACCACGGCGGGTGGGCTCAGAGTGATGCACTACGGCCGGGTGATGGCAGCAGCATTGATTGCTGCCTCAGCTGCGGTTTCTAGCCCTGCCACCCACTACTTCCGGCTCTGTGAACTACAACTCCCAGCAAGCAATTCGAAGGCCCAGCCGCTACCGGCATGCACCGCCCTATCCAATCCGAAGCTGCGCTTGCCGCGGACTTCAGACCCTGGCTCCTAGCTTTCCCTAGTGCACCTCAAGGGCAGTAGGGGCCTGAAAAGTAAGGCTGCACTAGTCTCCAGAGTTCCTACTGGAGTGGACTCTTAAACACGCCTGTCACACTTCACCCTTGGGGCCAAACTCGGTCGGAGGTCTAGACTCGAAAATAACGCTGGACTTAATCCAAGAACGGTTAACCCCACTTCAGCCTACCCAGGTTTAACATCTGTTGGTGGTGTTTGGGGTCCTCAACAATTTTAATAAAGAACTCACCAACTCAAGAGCTCAGGTTGCTTTGGTGATACAAAGGAAGAACAGGAGGGAAAGGCTTTGGGGAAAGATTTCCTGGAGGACTGATGTCAGAGCAGTTTTTAAGGATGAGTATGTACAGAAGAACTGTACAAAAAAGATCTTCACGACCCAGATAATCACGATGGTGTGATCACTCACCTAGAACCAGACATCCTAGAATGGGAAATCAGGTGGGCCTTAGAAAGCATCACTAGGAACAAAGCTAGTGGAGGTGATGGAATTCCAGTTGAGCCATTTCAAATCCTGAAAGATGATGCTGTGAAACTGCTGCACTCAATATGCCAGCAAATTTGGAAAAACTCAGCAGTGGCCACAGGACTGGAAAAGGTCCGTTTTCATTCCAATCCCAAAGAAAGGCAATCCCAAAGAATGCTCAAACTACCACACAATTGCACTCATCTCCCGCTAGTAAAGTAATGCTTAAAATTCTCCAAGCCAGGCTTCAGCAACATGTGAACTGTGAACCTCCAGATGTTCAAGCTGGTTTTAGAAAAGGCAGAGGAACCAGAGATCAAATTATCAACATCCGCTGGATCATTGAAAAAGCAAGAGTGTTCCAGAAAAACATCTATTTCTGCTTTATTGACTATGCCAAAGCCTTTGACTGTGTGGATCACAATAAACTGTGGAAAATTCTGAAAGAGATGGGAATACCAGACCACCTGACCCACCTCTTGAGAAACCTACATGCAGATCAGGAAGCAACAGTTAGAACTGAACATGAAACAACAGACTGGTTCCAAATAGGAAAAGGAGTGCGTCAAGGCTGTATATTGTCACTCTGCTTATTTAATTTATATGCAGAGTACATCATGAGAAATGCTGGGCTGGAAGAAGCACAAGCTGGAATCAAGATTGCCAGGAGAAATATCAATAACCTCAGATATGCAGACGACACCACCCGTATGGCAGAAAGTGAAGAGGAACTAAAGAGCCTCTTGATGAAAGTGAAAGAGGAGAGTGAAAAAGTTGGCTTAAAGCTCAACATTCAGAAAACCAAGATCATGGCATCTGGTCCCATCACTGCATGGAAAATAGATGGGGAAACAGTGGAAGCAGTGTCAGACTTTATTTTTTTGGGCTCCAAAATCACTGCAGATGGTGATTGCAGCCATTAAATTAAAAGACGCTTACTCCTTAGAAGGAAAGTTGTGACCAACCTAGATAGCATATTAAAAAGCAGAGACATTACTTTGCTGACAAAGGTCCGTCTAGTCAAGGCTATGGTTTTTCCAGTGGTCATGTATGGATGTGAGAGTTGGGCTGTGAAGAAAGCTGAGTGCAAAGAATTGATGCTTTTGAACTGTGGTGTTGGAGAAGACTCTTGAGAGTCCCTTGGACTGCAAGGAAATCCAACCAGTCCATTCTAAAGGAGATCAGTCCTGGGTGTTCATTGGAAGGACTGATGCTGAAGCTGAAACTCCAATACTTTAGCCACCTCATGCAAAGTGTTGACTCATTGGAAAAGACCCTGATGCTAGGAGGGATTGGGGGCAGGAGGAGAAGGGGACGACAGAGGATGCGATGGCTGGATGGCATCACTGACTTGATGAACTTGAGTTTGAGTAAACTCTGGGAGTTGGTGATGGACAGGGAGGCCTGGTGTGCTGCGATTCGTGGGGTCGCAAAGAGTCAGACACAACTGAGCGACTGAACTGAACTGATGACTTAACCTAGAGAAAGGAAGAGAAGGTGAAGAGAGGAAGCACAGACATAAGGAAGTTGGTTTGGGAACAGCTGATTCTGAGTAGTAATCAGAGCTGGGAAGAGGTGAGGAACAGAATGGTATGAGTGAGCAGGCAGACAAAATCATGAAGCCATTCTGAGTTTGGATTTTATCCTGAGAACAATGAGCAAATCAAGAAGTGATTTGATCAAACCTGCTGAGAAAGTTATTTTTTGACAATGTGAAGAAGTAATGGGTATGTACTATGTTGGCGGAAAGGGCAAAAGAAGGGATATGAGAAGAGGTTGGACGTCCCTATAGAGGCCAAGCAGGTAATGCCTGTAAGTGAAGTGAGCCAGTTGTAGAAGAATGGCTGAAACTTTGAACTGCACTGTCCATACCTCCTCCAAGAAGGAAAGTCTCATCTTAGCTATAGTTGAATGTTTGACAATATTCTGAGTTTTTAGTAAAACTGGAATCTGCATTTTAAGTAAAATTTCCAATTTTTAAAATATTGGCCACATTTTTTTTTTAAGTGTGAAAGTTGTTTGTTAGTTGCAAACTTTCTCTTATTCTTGTGACCCCATGGACTATATAGCCTGCAAGGGCCCTCTCTTCTTGGGATTTCTCAGGCAAGAATACCAGAGTGGGTTGCCATTTTGTTCTGCAGGTGATCTTTCCAACCCAAGGATGAAACCTGGGTCTTCAGCGTTGCAGGTGGAGTCTTTACCTCTATGCCACCAAGGAAGCCAAGGTAAATAATACACAAGCCAAAAAAAAAAAAAGCCCATAGGATAAATGTACCCTTTGTGTTACTAGTTTGCAAATCCAGGCCTAAACTTGGGCAGTAGCTGTAGCAAACAAGGAGGCTGGGATTAGAGCCATGGAAAGGCAACAGAATCAGCACTACTCTGCTAGGGAGGGATCTAATTTAACTACATAAAGACTAGTTACTCTATTAAAAATAATACATGACTTTTAGGAATTTTCAAACTTGAGAAAACTTTTATGAATTAAAAGGGGAAGAGAATTTTAATGCAAAATGTGATTTCCAACTTCCATTTATATAAAAAATACTATTTGTTCAAACTTTCTCATATCTTCCTTATAAAGGGTTATACTTTTTAAGAAAGGGGCAGTGTTGGTCATTGGGGTTTCAGAACCTTCTATTTCTACAAATGTATGAACTTCATTTCTTGGCATATGGTATAATCCCAAATTAATGCCACATGATTTTAACATATATTTACATGAAAGAGCGTTATCAGGAAATTCTAGAGCTAAAATTGTGGTAAAAGTTATAGAAAATAGGAATTTCCTCATATGTCCAAAACTAGGTTTACATTTTTTTTTTTTTTTTTTTGGTCCACACTGAACAACTCGCAGGAACCAAGGGTTGAACCTGGCACCATGAAGTAATAGCGGGGAGTCCCAACCACTGGACCACTGGGGAATTCCCTACACTTATGTTCTTTAAAGCAGTCAGTTAAAAAACATGACAACCTTTAGCCATGCGCCCACTCCCCAACCCCATCCTTCTGCTTTCCCTCACCCCAGGTAGCCATATTCTGAATTCCTTGTTTATAATTCCACTGCTTCTCTTTTTAAATAGTTTCTTTGACTTTATCCATAAAATTTTTGTGTTCTAACTTTATAAAAATGATATTAAGCTATATTTATTCTTTGAGGGCTTTTTCTGCTTAACATTACATTGATAAGATTTGTTTAAAATGTGTGTCACTATAGTTCATTGATTCTGACTGCAATATAATAGTTCATTGTGTGAATGCACTGGTTTATTCATGTTTTCTTCCACTGATAGGCATTTGGATTGTTTCTAAGTTTTTGCTATTGTGAACAGTGCTGCTATGAATATTCTTTTATATGTCACCTCTTATACATAAGCAAGGGTTTCTCTTGGGTACATACCTAGAAGTAAAATTGCCAGGTCATAGAGTTATTGTCTGTTTTAGCTTTTGTTTTGTTTTGTGATGGGTTTGTAGGTACACAATTTCAAAAATATCTAAATAGTTATGAAGTCATAACTAATTATAATAAGTTATTTAAAATAATTAGCTAACCAAATGAAAATGGGCCATGCATGGAAAATGATGAGAGTATACCATGAACCAAGGATTATGATTAACAACATTTTATGCATCACATCTGAGACTCAAATGCAAAAAGTCAAATATGCAAGAATATCTAGCATTAGGGTTCAGTAACTGTCACATAAATGTAATGGCCTTATTTCCTGGAGAAGGGAATGGCAACCGACTCCAGTATTCTTGCCTGGAGAGTCCCATGGACAGAGGAGCCTGGCGGGCTACAGTTCATGGGGTCATAAAGACTAGGACATGACTGAGCAATTAACACCTTACTTAGCAACTGCTTGCTGGATTAATATTTTAAAGTTCAAAAAATCTGAAGAACTATATTGATCCTGATTAATCTGTTTTAAAGATTACTAGGATGCAATTTTTATACAAATGGTAGTTGGCCTTAGAGTACTATTTGTTGTTGTTTAGTCACTAAATTGGGTCCAACTTTTTTGCACTACCATAGACTATCTAGCCTGCCAGGCTCCTCTGTCCATGGGATGTCCCAGGCAGAAATACCAGAGTTAGTTGCCATTTCCTTCTCCAGGGGATCTTCCTGACCCAGGGATTGAACACATGTCTCCACTGGCAGAAAGCAAAATTCACTCAAGAATCATTTATTCAAATAACAGGTTTTT